GGGATTTAGTGCTACCTTACTACAATGATTCCGAGTTGCCTACGTCTCCAGACAGACAATCTGGTTTGAAACTGAAAACAAGAACGACAGTGATATCGGTTAGCAGCCATATCTTGCAGTGTCTCCAACCACGCGCAGAGGAGGTCACGCGGTCCCCAGCGTGGAAGGTAACTAGCACCAATAGCACCCCAACGTTTTGCGATTTGTTTCACATCCCTCTGCCAGGTCAAGCAGTTGGCTGCCTCAAAATTGGGCACGGAAAACAGTTCTCCCTCCGGCAAACAATCGTTAGGTATGCACAAATCATGTCCCAACTAACGCAGCTTGTGGTGCTTGACACATTCTCCAATGGAAGCACCCGTTGAACAACCGAAAACTCGCCTTCTAATAGCCTCGTGACTGATTCGCCGACACCAACCCACACCAGCTATGGTTCTGAGACAACGATTGTCGAACATCTGAAGATGTCTCAGTTCCGCCCCTCGAAGAGGCCCACTCTTACAGCCATACAACAAAACATCCCGTACATACGTCCCTTGAGATTCAGAGACACCCCACTTTGACGCCATAGGTGTATCAAATCAGCAAACCGGACCCGAGCCTGGCAGATTAGTGCTAGATTTCCCTAATTATTCACATGGATTTCATTGGTTTTGGCAAAAAATCACTGACTATCCAATCATTTTGCTCTGCGTTGATTTTTGCCTCGTTAGACTTCAACAAGTTGGAACTGAATTCCGCTTTTTACTCTTGCTGTCACTGAAAAAATCCCCAAATACTAGTACAGTTCATAACGAAGAAAATCCTCACTTTTCTGTCATCTATACAAACCGCGTGTCTCGGTGTCCTTGTGGAGACTGAGGGGAACTCAATATCCACTGGATGAGTCCCGCTAGGAATCAGTACTGCGCCACATTTGGGGGAGACTATCAGCAAAGCACGTCCCGAAACTAAAGAAGTTCGCTTTCCACGACCGAATCATCAATAGGCTGGTAAGTGACGGAACCGATTTTCTGTTAGAACCAACCGAGTTCTTTGGATTTTTTATCATCCAGCCAGATATGGAAACAACCAAATGCACGTTAGATCTCTGCCATGAAAACTATTTTCGACATCATCGGCGAGCTTCTCTGTTGTGAAGTGGATTGACAGTTTGAAAGAATAACACTCATAAATGTCAAATACATCAATACTCACTTTAAAAACTAAATGCCAATTAACTGAACAAACTCTGCTAAACATGAGCTATATACAACATCCGATAGGTCATACGGTACAACCATTGGTCTAAAGTTGACCAATCAGGGATAGCCTGTTCTGCAAGCAAGAGGCGCTCGGAATTCGATGGGGTTTTTGCTGCAATAATCGTAATTCAAAAGGGCGATAGTCTGACTGCAGCAGTGATCTTAAGAAGTAAAAAAACGCCTGCACTACAGAGCACTCCCGAACAAGAAAGAAACTCAGAGCGCAACAAGAAATGTAGTAAAATAACACGTTTTGTCGTTATATGTTCTTTCCACGATCTTGTAGATTGAGTTATCATAAACCGTGGGGACTAACACAATTTGGGAACATGCTACTAGGTGGAGACAGTCAAGCGTGGGACGGGACGAACGGCTCTGTCAAAACCGGTCATAGATTAACCTAGTGATGTTCGGGCAAGAAGACTGTTCGGATGAGCACGCATCATATTGGGGCTCTTTCTGGCCTTAAGCCTGATGGTTGAATGGGTTGGACGTTACTGTCTGCGTTTACACTTTGTTGGAGCGATGTCTCCTGTAACGAGTTCACGTGGGAAGACGTCTCACCGTCGGGCAACGGCCTGGCTAAAAGTCTGAGCCGAGTGTAACCTCCATTCAGTTTAGGAAAAAGTCCATTCCTCTTCCACAATGGAATGGAAAGGGAGTGTTTGAAAACCAGATGATCGGTCGGTCGCCATGTTACAATTCTTTGCTTCGTGGTTGTATTGGTGGGAGTACAGTTAGCACGGCACCTGTTTACTGGATATGTGCGGTTTTGGGTATGTTGCACCGGTAACGCACCATCAGCCATCAGTAAATCACTTATTCATTGGGAACTAAAGAACCGATGATGAAGCCCTCTTGTTTCTGATATTCACCGACCGACAGTGGACTACCTTAGGGTTTTTCGTGTTCCCACTAAGAAGCAGTCAAGCTCACAGACAAGATAAGTGTTGGCTGACATGACAGTTCGTGGAGATGAAAGTTCATTTGAAAGCTAATTTGATGTTGGCGAAAGATCCAACTGAATTTCCTGTTTATGGTATATTCTACCAAAACCGTTTCAGGTTTCAGTAGGAGCAAGGCTCAAGTTATCGGACTGCTTTTCTTGATATGAATACCTCTAAGATGAACAATCATTCCCAATGGTTTCGTTTTCTTGGGAGAGGGGGGAAGCTCAACTGACAGGCGCTCAAGGTCGATCCCTATTCGAACATCAAAGTATGCCAGAAGAGTGATTAGAAAATCCTTCAGCTTTAGCACCCTTTCGGTGCCTAACCGCCATGCCCCCGAAAGGTTGCACGAGAGCTGGGATACTGTCAGGTTGCCCAAGCCTAGACAGGGGAAGTCGAGCGGAAGAGGTCGGGTTCGAATCACGGACCTTCCGGTTAGTAAACTGACGCTCCAGCCACTTGGGCCATCTCGCCCCACTCATTTGCGAATTGACTTGTACTACCAAAAGACTCAGTTATGAACCTTTACTAATATGTTGGATGTAGACCCAAAAATTGGTTTTATTTTTACCACAACTTTGAAAGTTCTGAGTAAAACTCGGCATAGTCTGGGTGAATCGGTTGCGCACGTAGAGAACGGAACTCAACCAGAAACCTCCAGTTTTCCACAAGTTATAAGCCAGCCTAATCCTCAAGGCAAAGGGGGTTCTACCAATAGGTCAAAGGTGAGTGGAGCGCAGTCGGGCATGAAAAACCATCAACCCGTACCCAAGAGCTATCAAGTCAATCAACAAGACCACGTTGACCACAATCAACCAGCTGAGAATCGCCAG